ATTGTTAAGCCTCACAATTCAGTAAGGTAGGTATTATTGTCTTCATTTTGCCCTTGAAGAAACTGAATTTCAGTCAGGTCAAGTTAACTTGTCCATGTTCACTACTGTAGGCAGAATAATGCCCATGACTTAATCCCTAGAAGCTGTGACTACGTTACCTTTCATGCAAAAAAGACTTTGCAACTGATTAAGTATGAACATGGGGAAATTACCCTGGATTATCTTAACAGACCTGATATAATCAATCATTATAAGAAGGAGGCAGGCAGCCAAAGGTAAGAGAGTGTGACAATGGAAATGAGAGGCTGGAGTAACATGATGAAGGGGCCAAGAGTCAAAGAATGCAGACAGCCTTTGGAAGTGGAGAAAGACAAGGACTAAAATCTCCCCTACAGCCTCTCAAAGGAATGCAGCCCTGGTGACATCTTGATTTTTGCCCTGTGATCCATCACAGATTCTGACTTACAAATTGTAAGATAACTTTGTTTTAATAACCTAAGTTTGTTTTCACTTTATATGCAATAATAGTCACCCACCCAGTTGGTAAGTAGCAGAATTTTTATTTTGCAACTAGGTCTAACAGTCTCCAAAATCAGTGATCTTTCCATCATTATGGGGATGTAGGAGTTTAAAAGAAATCTTAGACGAAAGAGTGTAAAGTTAAAAGCTACCAAAACCAAGAACAGCCTAGGAGAGCTGATCCTAGGTCTACTTACCCCCAAATGACCTCTTTTACATGGCCTGATATTTTTCATTTTAGTAGTTATAGTCATTTGGATTGAAAATCACTCTTTTCAGATTATTGAAAATAACTCTGGCAAGCACTAAAGGTCTTTGGCACCTTAGGGTGGATTGCATTAATCTCAGTTTTTCTATACTTGGTGATAATAACTGCAATAAAGAAATGGAATTTTGACTAGGTGAGGAGAAGCAAGGAATTCTGAAGTCTCAGTAGCATTCCAGTTTACAGACATCTTGCGGGGCAGACAGGGTGCTGACTGTGAAAAGCTTAGGGTCACTTGAGGGCAATAGGTACACTATGCCAAAGACTACTCAGCATAATTCAAACTTTTCCAAGTTTTCAGGATTTGGGGCAAGTACTGGGAATTGAAACCAGTGCTCTACCACTGAGACTTCACCCCCAGCTCTTTTTATTTTTTAAAAAAAATTGATACAGGGTGTCCCTAAATTGCTGAGGCTGGCCTTGAAATTGGGATCATCCTGCCTCAGCCTCCCAAGTTGCTGGGACAGTTTTCAGATTTCTTAAACTGTGTGGCATTATATACAAGCAAGTTTATTCAAACCTTGTCTTAAACAGATTTGCCTTTGAGTTGTATGCAGTGGAGCATGCCTGTAATCCCAGACTCTCAGGAGGCTGAGGCAGGATAATGAAAAGTTCAAGGTCAGCCTCAGCAACTTAGAAAGACCCTGTCTCTAAATAAGAAATTTTAAAAGAAGTTGTGGATATAGCTCAGTGGTAGAGCAGCTCTGGATTCAATCTCCAGTACTAAATAAATAAATTAATAAATAGGCTTTCATATCTCAATTGCAATTTATTCCCATGAATAGTTGGACACACCTGTGAAGATAAAGCCATTTAGCAAGTAGGGCTGTTAGGCCCTGGCAAATCTGTGAAAGACACAGCTCCATTTCTTTCATCTCTGTTTGAATTCTAGCAGGGTCTTCAATGCCTTCACCTAGCAAGCATTCCTCAATAGGAAGGTTTTGTGGATCTGGAAAGTTTTGAAACCTTACCAGCTGCGATACTGCAATCACTATACACCCTTCTCTAAGATTAGTTCAGGAAACCAACAAAAAAGGAGACCTTTGTCCTATCTCATCACCTTGAATAATCCCACAGATTTGGTGAGAAATGGAAATTAATTTCTCAGATAAATTTGAAACCCTTAACTCAAAGGAGTGTTTGGTATGGGACTGTATCTTGGGTAGGATCTTCAAACACACTGTATAAGGTGCCCCAAAAGCAAGAAAAGCTCTTTTGTCTGTTTAGCTCATTTGGGGTAGCTACTCTATTATAGAGACTGTATTAGAGACTACTAAAACCAGGAGAATAATGATTCAATTCTTTGTTTCTCATCCTCACTAAATGATATGGTAGGTTGAGTGGAATCTGAAAGAAAATAGATTTCCTCTCTCCCACTCTTACCAAATGTGTAGTGCTGTCTCCAATCCTGCCACATTGTAGATTAACAGTTGGGGGGGGGGCAGACAAACACAAAAACACAAGAGTAATTTGGAACTGCTGGTAGAGAGAGTTGGATGATTTAACAAAAGAGAGACTGACAAAAATACATTTTACAACACTATAATTATAAAGTTGAAGGCACATCCTTGGCAGAAACAAGATCAACTACATGCTTATGGAAAAACAAAATACTATCTTGACTACAGTAGATGAATATTGCACAACATCGTCCACTGCTGTTTTGGGTATCAAACAATGTTTAACAATATTTAGCAAAACATTTCTTTAACTAAAAACATAAGGTTGAGACGCCTGGTTTTGGCTACAAAAGGAATTTATGATCAATGTCACTAAAGAAGCTCTTTTGACTGAAGAACAAGAATTCATGCTTTGTGCTTTATCTAATTGCTCATACCAGATTGAAGGCCTGAAGACAGTGTAAAATAGGCATGAATCCGTATTTTGTGGGGTGAGGGTACTGGGATTTGAACTCAGGGGCACTCAACCACTGAGCCACATCCCCAGCCCTATTTTGCATTTTATTTAGAAACAGGATCTCACTGAGTTGCTTAGTGCCTTGCTGTTGCTGAGCTGGCTTTGAACTTGCAATTGTCCTGTCTCAGCCTCCCTAGCCACTGGGATTACAGGCATGCATCACTGCACCCAGCATATTTTTTAAAATATTTGGTAAAATAATACTTTTTTAAAAAATATAGGAAAGAAAACAAACAAAAAAAATGCCCCAAAGGGAGTAATAACAGGAATGTTTTTATTCTTTTAAAAATAACCAGTAACCAGATGCCTCACCCAAAGAAAATAACAAAATAAAGTAAAATAAATATCCAGAAAACTCATTTTAAAGCAGGATTCACAATCATGGAAAGAAAATCATCTTACACACATTTTGATTTGAAGCTGTGTACAGAAAATATATTCACGCTTAAATTTTTGGAAACATCTTGTCTACAGTACTATTTTAAGCATTCTGTATATCTGAATAAAGTATAATTTTTAAAAAATTAAAGCACAATATAAAATTATTTGTTCACAAAGCATCAGATTTAACATTCTAAAATGTTGATACTAAACTAGGAAAAAATAACATTTCTATTTTCACAACTAACAACCATACTTTTTAAAACTCCAACACTAAATACTCTAGTTGGGTTTTAATCTTTGAAATTCAAAAGGCATCTTTGGATATTTATGTTAAGGTGTCCCATAGCTGAGTCTGCACCAGCACTAGATATCAGAGTGTTCTTGTTATCTTCAGACTGAGGGCATGGTTGCTGAGTGAATACAGAAGAGTGATAAAGAAAATACAAATAAAGAACTTCAAAATATTCAAATGTCGAATTCAAATATAAATCCATTTTCCTTCTGGATGATAATATAGGTGGATGTATATGTGCATGTACATATAAATTTGCATATGTATGTGAATAAATACGTAGATACACACACTTATAAAATTTCTCACTAGTAACTAGTTACTTAGTTACTAACTGAAAGCAATGATTTTGATCCCCTCCATAAATTGCTTCTCTCGCCTGTGAATATAGCATCCTTCTGTAGCTAATAGTTTAAGATTTTAAGAGACTTGTGGCAGAGAATTCAAGTGTGGCTACAGATATCTAAAACAGGACTCTTCCTAAACAGCATGTTTTCTGTTCTTGTAGTAAGAATTGAAATTATATCCTGATTACTTCCAGACCATAAGTTATTGCCTTTCACATCCTATGACCTGCATATAGGGCCAAGAGATTGACACACACACACAATGAAAGTACTAACTGCCTATGTTCAACTGTGTGTGGGGGGAGGGCTTCTTTTTTCAATTTGGCTCCAGAGTAAGAAAAATCTATTATACATTTGTAATACCAACTGTTTCTTATAGAAGAAATGAGTCATGTTATGATGTTCCACTGGAATTATAGAAATGAATATTCAAACTCAAACTGTAAACATGGAAGATGGCATAAGATTGGTCTAAAAAAAGAGCCTAAACATACAAACTGATTCATACTTTATTAAAATGGGTTGCCTTTCTAGATTAATAGCACCTTAATCAAAAGTTTCTGTTCTATCTTTAAGACGGGTATAGAAATTACATCTTTTCCAAATGTGAAAAGACAGCATGAAATAATGTTGTAAACTGTGTGTGTGTGTGTGTGTGTGTGTGTGTGTGTGTGAGAGAGAGAGAGAGAGAGAGAGAGAGAGAGAGAGAGAGAGAGGATAAAAGAGAAAAGGGGTAGAAGAGGAAGAACCTTGTCTCCTACCTGATTTTAGACTCTCATGTATAAAAATGATTTTTCATATTTAGTACTGACCTCAAGGGAAGAAAAAAAACCCTAACATTTACTGAGCACAAATCCTATGTGTTGGGTGTTATTCTGGCAAAGGGAACAAAATGTTGAGAATTTACTATGAATCACCTTCATTTACATATTCTGCATCTGAAATCCACCTTGCAATTAACAAGGAAATTTAAATGGTCACGTAAGTACCATATCTCTGACTAGTATATTAGCTCCTGGGTGCTCACTCTGGAATTTCCATGTGACAATAGGAACAATTTCCTAAATTTACCAAGAACACTAACTATATAAGTGCAAATGTTTTGCTGTTGTTTGTTTTTATGGCACCAGAGATTAAACCCAGGGTGCTTTATCATTGAGCTACAACTCCAGCCCTTTTTATTTTTATTTTTTATTTTGAGGCAGGTTCTCATTAAGTTGCTCAGGCTGGCCTCAGACTTGCAATCTTCCTGTCTCAGCCTCCCCAGTCACTGGGATTACAGGCGTGTGCCACCACGCATAGTAAGTGCAAATGTTTTAAATAAGATAAAAGTATATATTTGGCTAAAAGATATTACAGCCTAGGAAAATTCTAATTTCTATATTACAAATTTACTGTAGTTTTTGGTACAATCAGCTTTTTGTAATAGCATTACTTTAAAGTCATCTTGACAGCCTGTATGAAACAATAAAAGATAATTAAAATCTATTAAATTACATATATCAGCCAAGAAATTGTATATATTAAATATAGTAGTGTTAATCTTTGAAAATCTTTTGAATGAAAGAGGCTCAAAATGTTAATTTTCTGAAATGAACAACTTGGAGCTAAGCTCAGCAGGAGTGAATTGAAAGCTAGCACAAAGCTAGGGAGATTGAAGGGAGAAGGCAACATTTCTTACAACAATGGAAAGATGGGAGGCAGGGATTCCTACAGACCCTTAAGGTCTTTTTAGCTACAAAAACTTTTAAAAAGGAACAAGGTATTGGAAAAATTGTCAGTTATTTTTATCAATGAAACAACCACCAAAATTTGGCTAACTTAAAGGAAGATAACGAAAGAAGACATCTTGGAGAATCCAAGAAAGCAACTGCAAAGACAAGGATGCAGGGAGATAAGGGGGAAAGAAAACTATAATAAATAAGGCACATCTATTTTTAAACAGTTTCAACTGTTTCCCTTCTAAAATTAGTGCTTTGAGAGTCATTGCGCCCCAGTAGGGCAGCATTACAGACTCAAAAATATCCTTAAAATCATGCTCTCAAATCTTCAAATTTTTAATTATCCTTTTCTTGCCCACCCCCCCCTATTTTGGTCAAAAAAAAATATTCTATCATTTTAGCAGCAATTCAGCAACCTCTACTTGTAGGGTTTGTTGTAAACCTCACTGCTCTTCCATATCTATCACTGGATAAAGCAAAAAATGCTGCAAATTAATTTGAAATAAAGCTAGGTTCAGAGCCCATGCCCTGAAACATGCAACTCAAATTGAATCCCTCATGTAAGAAGAGCATGAGACCAACAAAAAATCTTTCCACAATATTTTGAAAAGCGAAAGTAATAGCATGAATGCTGTATCAGTGCATAACAATTTCAAATAGCAGTGCTCTCTGTTGCCTTTACAATGTGGTGTCTTCATCTTCCCTGAAGTCTGCCACCAGGAGTGAGTGCTTGTCAGGTTCACTAGTAACAACACTGTTTAGGGAACGTCTATCAGACAGTAGTGAGTTTATGGAGGCTCTGCTGTAATTAACAATCCGGTCCAGCAAACCCAGTTTAGGAGAATTTCTTGAAGTGTCATCTATTCCAACATGAATGCTGATTTCTGAAGAACTCTTCTGTCCTATCTGGCTCCGAGAACGCAGTTCATAGTTCTCATAAGTTGGTTTCCTATAACTGGACACATGGAAAAGGATACAAGTTTAAAATAACCAAGTGATGAATAAGGTGCTTGTTACATGAACAAATGAAAGAAGATGTAACTGGTATGAAATGTACAAAGGTTATCACTGCTAGGAAGGTAGCTTGAAATGATCAGAAATTCCATTCTCAGAACCAGATTTTAGCCAGACTAGATGTTATCTCAGTGCTACTGGTTACTATGCATAAACTACATGAAGTGACAATTACATAGCTAATTATTATTAATTATTATTGCATAATAATTATTATTAAGAATGGCTTGAGTTTATTATTGATCCATGGTCAAGACTGACTATGGATGATAAAAGGTTTGTAAAAGAAAAAAAAGAATGAGCAAACCATTATACTTACAGTTTAAGAAAGAGAGAAGAAAGTACCACAGAAACAGATGAAGCAGCCATTGCTGCAGATCCCATCCAGGGTTGCAAAACCAAACCAACAGGCATAAAAACCCCTAGAAAATGAGTTTGGATTACAGTAGGCAGTACTAAACAGATCATCAATGTGCTTTTTTTTTTAACATTTTATTTATTTATTTATTTTTAGTTGAGATGGACACAATACGATTTTATTTGTTTGTTTATTTGTTTAATGTGGTACCTCACCGATACTAGGCAATTGCTCTACCACTGAGCCACAACCCCAGCCCCCATCAATGCGTTTTTCTCTCTCACACACACACACACACACACACACACACACACAAATGATTTCTTTGATATTTCTTTAGCATTTTATCTTATTTGTGGTAAGGATTTACGTTGTCAATTTTTCTTTTTTTCTTTGTTTTCCAATTTTTCATTAAAATTGCTGTGAACATTCCTGTATGTCTCCTTGTATCCATGTTTGAGACTTTCTCTATGGTACATCCTAGGGGTAAAATTGCTGGGTCATGATAACATGATCCAGCTTTAGGTAGATAATCCTTGGTTCTCCAAAGGAGCTGGACCAATTCACAATTCCAACAGTGTATGGGAGTTCATGTTCTATAAACTCATCCACACTTGGTTTGACAGACATTTTAATATTTGCTCATATAATGGAGATAAATATAGACTTACTATACTTTAAATTTTTATGTGCTTATCTGGATTTTTCTGCTGGTTCTACAGTGATCATATATTATTTGTATAGTTTTTTAAAAAATCACTTGCTCCATGAATTAATCTTACTGGACTGAGGTTGTTCTTTTGCTCTTCGACCCTTTAGCATTTGTTATGTCCTTGTTGATAAACAGCTTTGTAATTGTTTTCATGTCATTTTATGTCTTTGAAAATTCTGTGTATGCTACAAATCACAACTATACTACTAGACCAAAACTGACACAGAGTAAAAAAAGACTGGAAGGAAATATAAAATGCAAACAATGTCTATGTTTGGGTAATGAAATTAAAGTATATTTATGGCCAGGTATGGGGATACACACCTATAATCCCAGCTACTTAGTAGGCTGAGGAAAGAGGATCACAAGTTCATGGCCAGCCTCAGCAATTTAGTGAGACCATGTCTCAAAATAAAGAACAAAAGGGGCCGAGGATGTGTAGCTCAGCAGTAGAGCACTACTAAGCATACTCAAGGCCCTGGAGTTCAATTCCCAGCACTGTTAAAAATAAAAAGCAAATCTGTTCTTGGGCTGGGGTTGTGGCTCAGTGACAGAGTGCTTGCCTCACACATGTGAGGCACTGGGTTCGATTCTTAGCACCACATAAAGATAAATAAACAAAATAACAATATTGTGCCCATGTATAACTAAGAAAATTTTAAAAAGCTTTACAAAAAAAGTAAATCTGTTCTCTTTGGCAGAAAAATAAATGAATGAATAAATAACTGTGTATGTGAATATATGGAAAAAGAGATGACACTATGCAGCAAAATATCAATTTTTAAGCTTAGGTAAAAGGTACACAGATTTTCATTGTATCATTTTTTGATGTTAATGCAGATTTGACAATTTTCAGAATGTAAAGTTGAGAGGAAAAGAAACCTGTCAGAATGCTCATACATTCTTACACTACAAAGAACACCACTGAAAAATGAAAAAAAAACATTGGCTTTAATATTACTTCTCACTATGGCAGCAAGTTATATACAAAAACTAAGCTAAAAACCAATAATACTAAATCATCCAATATAATAGGTTTCTAATGACTTTAGTAAAAAGCAATAATAGTTAAGAGTCACATACCAGCAGCTATGGGAATTCCAACCAGATTATAAATTAGAGCAAAGACAAAATTTATCCGAATCCTCTTGACTGTCTTTCTTGATAAGTCAATACTTGCCACTACATCCAAAAGATCATTCTAAGAACAGAAATATTTATGATGTTAGTGAGAGACTAACTTTACTAGTAACTTTTATATTTGACACTGTGTATACTGACGACTATGTATACCTTACAGTAATAGGTGTATTAACCACAAATCTCAGACACTGCTAAAACTTGAATCAAACTTGGAAGATGTTTTACAGAAAATTTTCCCAGGGTTCTGAAAACACTTTTAGGGTTGTGTGCTGGTATAAGAATTAAATATAATTAAAATAACCTCAACAAATATTTACTGAAGATAACTGTATTATAAATATATTCCTAAATCTTATTCTTCACATTGGAAGCTTAGAATTCTCACTCACATTGCTGCATTGAGAAAGTCAATAGGTAATTGGTAAGATTTCCCATACTCCCGCCTCAAATACTCATAGTCTTAATAACTAAGAACATGGGAATTAAGGCAGAAATACTGTGTTCAATATATTTTATGACATTATCACTGACCATGTAGGGTAGTCATGTTCCTCAGAGGTCAGGCCATTGGACTTACCCTTATCAAAACCACATCAGCTGCTTCAATGGCTACATCTGTGCCTGTGCCAATGGCAATTCCAACATTTGCCATTGCTAGAGCTGGAGAGTCATTGATTCCATCTCCTACCATTGCTACACGTTTCCCCTCCTCTTGAAGTTGCTTCACTTTAGCAACTTTGTGGGAAGGTAGAACTTCAGCAAACACCTTAGTAATGCCAACCTACAGGAGGAAAATAAACTCAATTCGTTTCAAGAAATAATACTGAGTACCAAAAGAATAACTGGGTAATAATGAGTCCTCTTTTTTTACACACCAGATGTCTACATTTTAAATGACTGATAATATTCAGTGATAATGTGGGAAGTGAGCATTTTTATATACTGTTGTTGAGTGTGTAATTGGCACTGTCTTTTGGGGGGGGGCAATTGGCAACATTTATCCAAGTGTACACATCATTTGGTACAGCAATTCTACATCTAGATGTATTTTGGTCAGACTTGTACATGTACAAAGATGTTTATTAATGCCTGTTAAAACAAAAAAAAACTTTCAAATTCACCTTAATGTCCATCATTGGGGGAATAGTTAAATAAATTTTGATAAATCCATACCATGGAATTCCATGAAACAATATAGAAAGAATGAAATAACTTTATATGTTCAGACATGAACAAAGTTCTAAGGAATAGTTATATTTAAAAACCAAACTAGTGAATAATCCTTATAAAATGATCCCACTTGATGTTCAAAATACCAGAATTATACATTTGTATATGAACATATATATGCATTTGTAAGCGGAGGTGTAGAACTAGACATACGAGCAACATTTCAAAGCATGGGAAAAGGGTGACAAACTCTTTACATCCTTCTATATTTTATATAAAATGTATTTATATATTCCTTGTATTATTTATTAGAAAAGGAGAGAAGGTATTCCCAAGTAGAAAAGATTGAAAAATGTTAGAGGTAAGGCACATACAGGAGTCAGCAGAAAAGTGGTATGTCAAAGTGGTGCCTTAGGAAATGGTTCCATTAGTGGTGTTTGGGACTGAACAGAAAGGAACCTGTCTGGTGTTATTGCCATATTTCAGGCAAGAGATGATGAGAACCTGGCTTAAGCTGACAGCACTATGAAGAATACGAGCAACATTTCAAAGGAAGCATCAACAGAAACTGGTGTATAGGGTCACTCAAGCATTCAACAAGCTAAGCAAATACCCTTTTACTTATACTAGGAACACACAAAGCTAAAATCCTTCTAGCATAGCATGCTAATCCTTCTTTAAGGAACCAACTAAATCTATTTGGTGATAATGAAAATAACAGATCATGTGAATTTTTTAGTATCTGAATGCAGGAAATAAAATATATATGAATAATTACAAGTTACTACATGCCCACACCCCAACAACTAAGTAAACCAGTTACCTGAGAAGCAATAGATCTAGCTGTTTTACTGTTGTCTCCAGTCATCAGAACTACTTCTAAGCCCATAGATTTCAGGATATGGACAGCCAATTCTGCTTCAGGCTTCACAGTATCAGCAATGGCTATCAAGCCACACAGCTCATCTAATAATAGAAGCAGCAGAAGACAGTTTGGAATATGGTGAAAAGTAGAATAATATTTTTTGAGAGAGAGAGAGAGAGAAAGAGAGAGAGAGAGAGAGAGAGAGAGAGAGAGAGAGAGAGAGAGAGAAAGAATTTCAATATTTATTTTTCAGTTTTTGGCGGATACAACATCTTTGTTTGTATGTGGTGCTGAGGATCGAACCTGGGCCGCACGCATGCCAGGCAAGCGCACTACCACTTGAGCCACATCCCCAGCCGTAGAATAATATTTTAATGTAACATTTCAGAAAGAAATAAATTTTGTAAAGTTGTTCAGGGCTTGACTGAACTCAAGACGTCTCTGAACCCATACAGACTTTATACCACTAACCCTATAATCAACTTTCATTTCTGGTTATGAAAACTTCACAAAGTAGTGGTAACCAACAAAGGTAGTAATAGGAAAACAAAAAGAGAGACCTTACTGGATATTAAAACAATCTTTTCCTTTCCTTAAATAGTTATTTGCCAATAGCTATAAACACTTCTTAGCTAATTTAAAAGCAAATGAAACTGACAACTAATACTTTTTTTTTCTTTTTAGAGCAAAAGGGGTGTGTGAATGGAGCTAAAACTGGCATTTTAACATAGGTAAAAAAAATTATTGCAAAATACTTATTTTATTCTATTTAAAAAACAAAAGTAAGCCAGGCATGGTGGTGCATGCCTGTAATCCCAGTGGCTCAGGAGGCTGAGTCAGGATTATGAGTTCAAAGCCAGCCTCAGCAACAGTGAGGCTGTTCTATATTTTTACCTACACTGACTTACATCCCCAGATATTTTGGGTTTTTTAAACAAATCCATGATTGGCTTTTATTTATTTAAAACAAGCTAAGAAATAAAATAATAAAAGTAGGCAAATGAAGAGGATTTTTATAGAGTTTTTCCCTTCTTTTTTATAGTACTGGGCCCTAGCCCAGGAAATTTTAATTACTCAGTAAAAATCATGTTATTTAATGTTTTCACTTTGTATCCAGGGGCCTGGTGAATAACCCACATAGTTCAGAAGTCTCTCAAAAATACACAAGAAAGCACTGGGTATGGTGGCTCACACTTGTAATCCCAGAGACTTGGGTTGCTGAGGCAGGAGTATCACAAGTTTGAGGCCAGCCTCAGCAATTTAGGAGGATTCTCAGCAACTTATCAAGATCTGCTCTCAAAATAAAAATGAGGGCTGCAGATGTAGCTCAGTAGTAAGCACCCCTGAGTTGAATCACCAGTAACAAAAACAAAAAGACCGCAAAATACCCCAAACACACATGAAACAACTGAGATTACAACAGTGAATCACAATATACTCATGGAAAACCTTACCGTCAACTGCCACCAATACAGCAGTCCGACCTTTTCTTTCATGTTCAGTCATGGAATCATCTACATCATTATTAATGATGAGACCATTTCTAATCATCCATTCCCGGTTACCAATGAGGACTTTGTACTGCTGAGTATTAAAAGTATCTGAAAGTAAGTACAGAAATAACATTTGGTGAGCTCATGTAATCTTTATAGCAACTCTATGAAGCCAGTTCTTCCTGTCTAATCTTGTAGTAACTACAGCATATTTTTGGTAGAATGCAACCTGGAATAGCAATTTTCAAATTTTCTGGGAATATATTCTGCTCTTCCATGTCTCTGGGTCTTTGTATATTTTGCTACCTTAACCTGAATATTTTTACCTCTCTACTCCAAATAGTAAACTTCATTGTATTCTTCAAGAGCCAATTCAAATGTCACTTTCTTGGTGAAGCTTTCTGTTTGACCTTCCATAGCAATTCAATTAAGTTCAAAATATTTATTGTGCATCAGTAGCTGAATGTTGGACATAAATATGCCACCATGCTAATGTTTCATTTTAAACTTGTGACCACTAACTTTAAGTGAGCCCTTAGTGCTGTCTTGAAGTTCATCTATATTTCCTTAGGTCATTCATTTTCCATTTCTTCTAGGTGACTATTTTACACCTTCTCCTCTCTTTTCAAATCTCCAACTTCTCCTCTCCCATTCTCATACTAGATGACAACTCTGGCTCCTACTTCAGAAAGAAAATAGAAGCAACTGAAAGACAACTTCCACAAGCTCTCATTATCTAGCCTAGTGATCTCCACCTCCTGTGTCCATATAATTTACCATCCCTTCTATTCTTATAAACTGACTTTGTTCCAAATTTTAAGACCAACCTCTCCATTTGTGCATTAGATCCTCCTCTTTTGCTTATTTCAGAACATCTCTCCAACAATTCTCCCCTCTCCTTTTCTATCTCTGCTGCACATTGTCCTAACTTTAAAAACCCCTCTCAATATCACCTACTGCTTTAGCAACCATATTTCTCTGCCTGTGTACACAGCAAAATTTCTCAAGGGTTCTTTATTGACTGTCCTCAATTCATATCTTCCATTCTTACATGAACCCACTTCAATAAAGTTTTTTAGATTTTTTTTAGTTCTAGATGATACAATACCTTTATTTTATGCAGTGCTGAGGATTAAACCCAGTGCTTCACATGGGCTAGGCAAGTGCTCTACCACTAAGCTACACCCCCAGCCCCTCCAATAAAGTTTTTGCCTCTCCTATTCCAATGAATCATTTACACCCTACACCAGTGACCTTTACTCTAATAAACCTACTGGTTAATTCTCAACTATCATCCTACTTGCCCTATTAGTAGCATTTAACACAGTTGTTTACTCCCTCCTTCTGGAAATGCTTTATTTGCTTGGCTTCTAGAACTCCACATTCTTGGGAATAACTCCTTGATCAGCACTTTTCAGTCTTTGCTAATCCCTCCTCATCTCCCTGACCTCTTAATTGGTTGTGCATTGGGGTTCAGACTTTAGCACCTCCTTTATGATCTTATCCAGTTTCGTGTCTTTAAATACTACTCATATCAGCATTGTCCAAAGAACTTTCTATAATTATGGAAATGTTGTGTATCTGCTCTGTTTAATATAGTAGCCACTAACACACATATCTGACTATTGAGCCCTGAAATGGGGCTACTAAGATTGAAGAGCTAAATTTTAAATTAAATCTTAATTTAAATAGTCTCATATAACTAGTGGATACTGTACTGGACATCACAGATCCATAAGCAAATGACTCCCAAATTTATACATATGACTCAGCCTATTTCTGACTCCTGTAGCCAGAAATTTTCATTTATATGACATCTCCACTTGAACATTTAATAGGTACTCAAATACATGTACAAAACTAACTTCTGATCATTTCTCCAATACTACCTCTCTTGTGGTCTTGCTCATCTTATTTAAAGGGTAACTCCATTCTTCCAACTGCTTAGGCCACAAACCACAACACAAATTTTGACTCTGGTTTCTCCCCTACCCCAGATATGCAACCTGTGAAAAAAATTTTTCAATTCTTCCTTCACGACACATTTAGAATCAGAACCTAGATGATGGTAACAGCCCAGCAATTCATTTTCCAGCTTCTGCCCTTGCCCCCAACTCTTACCTCCATAGTGTATTTTTACCAGAGCATCCAGAGTGACAATGTGAAAACATCAAGTCAGATTCTGTCTCTTCCTCTACTCAAAACCCTTAAATAGCTTCCTAAGAGTAAAAACCAAACTCTTTATTTTTAGTGGTGTTGGGGATTGAACCTAGGGCCTTGTGCATGTGAGGCCAGCACTCTACCAACTGAGCTATATCCCCAGGCCCCAAAACAGTCTTTTCAATGTCCTTACATGATCTAGTCCCATACTACCTCTCTGATCTTGTCTCTTACCCCTTTCCAATTCATTTATTCTGCTCTTGCCATACTGTACTTGCCACTCCTCAAACAAATCAAGTACACTCCTGACTTAAGGCTTTCATACTTGCTATTCCTCCTCCCTTGAATGCTTATGTCATGAATATTCACATAGCTTTATACCTCAACCCTTTCAGGTATCTGCTCAAACACCACCTTCTCAGTGAGGCCTACCCTGATCAGCCTATATAAAAATGGTACCCATGGGCTGGGGATATAGTTCACTCGGTAGAGTGCTTGCCTCATATGCACAAGGCCCTAGGTTCAATCTCCAGCACCACAAAAAAAAAATGGTACCCACTAATCCCAGCATTCTCCATACCCTTTTCCCCGCTCATTTCCTTCCATAGCGCGCTATCTCCATCATACTATATTTTCTGATTTCTATTTTCTGTTCTCGTGTGTGTGTGTGTGTGTGTGTGTATGTGTGTGTGTGAGAGAGAGAGAGAGACAGAAATAGATTGAATTAGAAATAGAATTGAACCCAGGGCCTTGCACATGTTAAGCACAAGTTCTACCATTGAGCTACACCCCCAGCCCTCTCTGCTGATTCTTTAGTGCCTTGAACAATCTGCTCAACAAAAATTGTTTCCTATGTATCCGTGTTCTTGATTTCAGAAGTTCACAGACAAATAATAAAGAAGTCACAGACTAGTATAGATGGCTGGTGTATAAATAATTATTGTGCAGTCTATCTAGTGCAACAATGGAGATTAAGTACAATTATTATTTAAGAAGAGCAATTCTCTCTGTCAATATATGTCAGTCAGTGAAGAAAGAAGTGAGCTTGGTCTTGAAAGGTAATTGTAATTTCACCAGGTAAATGCCATTTGTGTGTAAGAATATTACATAGAGGAAACAGTAAATGAAATTATCTAATAATCATGAAATGACACACTGTAAGGAGGAAACTAAGTAGTTAGGTATGGATGGAACATAGAGTACATGTGGAACAATGGAAAAGACAAAATGAGTGATATAGGGAGGCAGGAGACATAGCACACACAGGGAACAGATCTTGAACAAAGTCCAGAGACTCTGACCTAAGGAGAGAAAGAATCATTGAATCTGGGATCCTGGGCTGGGTATATAGCTCAGTTGGTAGAGTGGAGTGCTTGCCTTGAATGCACAAGGTCCTGGGTTCAATCTCGGGCACCACCAAAAAGAAAATTTGGGCTGGGATTTAGCTCAGTTGGTAGAGTGCTTCCCTTGCATGCACAAGGCCCTGGGGTTCAATCCCCAGCACCACACACACACACACACACATACACACACACACACACACACACACACACACACACAAAATCTGGGATCCTTAACCAAGATCTATGGATGGGCTTCAAGGATACACATGAACCTCTTATAACAAACATATTGTAAAGGATAGATCCATAGCTGTCATTACATTCCTCCAAAAGATTCATAATTCACAAAATAGGTCATAAACCACTATAAAAGAGTCATGGGTCAGAAAATGATATGATCATATCTGCATGTTAGCAAAATCGCTCAGGAATAAATGGGTGGAGAAGTAATGGCACACTTAGATGGATAGAATATGTTTTAGAGGCAAAAAAAAAAGATCAATGGGAAGCTCAGGAAATAGGCCTTGGCCAAAGATACAGGTTTTACAGTGGCAGTGAAAGCCTGTAAGCAGAGGAATAAATAATAGGCACAAATGAGACTGTACAGAGAAAGTATAAAAAATGAGAAAAATAAAAACAAATACATTCCTGAGGATATCCAATATTTGAAAGCAGAAGAAAAGAGGAATTAAAGGAGGATTACAAGATACAGCCAAGGATGTGAGAGAGAATCTAGAGAAAGCAGGGTCATGGAATAAAGGGAGGAAAGAGTGTTAGAGAGGAATAAACATCATCAAATGTCTTAGTGAAGTCACATGGGATGAAGATGAAAAGTGACCACTGAAGAGGGCTCTGAGTGACATAGAAAATATAGTTTCAGTAGTATGGATGGAATGGAAGCCAGATTACAATGAATTAAGGCATGACTCTGTATTGAATAAGTGAATTCAATGAATGAGCCTACTCATTCTCAAAGCTTAGATACAAAGGAAAGGAAAGAGTCTAGATGGGAATATAGTGATTTTGATGGGAGGAATATTCAAAGATATAGATTTTGGAGTGGCAATGGAAGCCTATAGACAAGAAGCTACTACAGAAAAAGAGCTGGGAAATGGAGAAGCAATGGAATATGACAGAGAAAGGTAAGTCCCTAAGGAATTAAGAGAGCATAGAATCTAGAGCAAAGATGAAGGAATTTTCTAGGCAAGACAAGGGACATCTCTTCCTATGAAAAAGGAATAATTTGGGCAAAAATAGAAAGAATGCATACCGAGAACCATAATTTTCTATTTGATAAATAAAATAATTTGCAGTGGGGAATAGTCATAGTGAGAAATAAAAAAAGGATCACAGAAGATCAACTAAAACTAGACCTCACCACCCTATAGTGGTGTCAATGAAAACAGTTGGGAAGTGTTCTTAAGTAAACTGAGTGAAGATATCATATGACCCATAGTAAAGAGAGAATGAAATCATGATGCCAATTTTTGTTTCTTATATAACAGTTCAGGGTTATAAAATCAGCCATTTGTTCATAACTGCACCATTATTCATACTACAAAGAAAATTAGCTTACTTGAGAGCTGAGCATCAATAATCATGGAAGACGAAGTTGATGACTGTTCATTTCTTGCACCAATTTGAACCAGGGATGCATTTTTAATGTTATTTTCCTCTAACTTCCAGTTATTCTTATGTAACAAGCCTTCAATATTGGTGACTTTACAGCTAATACCACAGCCTGGTACGACCTGGAAATCTATGCAGGTACCCAAGGTTTCAGTGTCCAGCTCCTAACAAATAGAAACAGAAAATTTCCTCTGTTGATCTGATAATCCAAGGTCATCCATTAGCAAGATCGAAGAATACTCCTGGTGAATTCTAAGTATTTTGAACAAAACTGTCATGTATCATTGCCTACTTGATAGTGGATTTTGATAAGAATAAAGAAACATCATTGAGTATAAAATACAAAGTTACAGGAAAGTCTCAAAATCCTTTGTTTTAATTTTACTGTCTCAAATTTGTAGAAAATATGGAAGCCCTGCTATTCTCTGCCATTTCCAATAGAGAATCACAAGTTAAATTTTTAATTCGCAATCAAGTCAGGTTTTCTATTCAGTGCAGGGCAAAGGGTAACAAAGAACAGGGCCTTTAATTACCAGAGTACACTATCATCTCATTCTGTGTCCTTAGTAAGCCCAAAGAATTCTGGGGGCCACCATTGTTTCCTGGCTCTTTATATCTTCATCCTGTCTGTTGTTTGATTTGAGTGTAAAGAAGCCAGTTAGTAAGAATTAGTAAGAGGAAAGAACAAATGAAGAAATGGCAACACCAGTGATAAAATTGTCACATTTTAAGTGTAAAGTGAATGAGAGATAATTAATAAAGAATTTACACAAATTAATGAGAAAAAAAACAGACCTATGGGGAAACAGGCAAAAGATACAGACAGGTTAGAGAAAAACAAATTCAAATGGCCAATAAACATAAAAAGATGTTCAACCTTACTCATAATTAAAGAATGCAAAGCAAAGCATCAACAAGTAAATGTTTTTCATGTTAAATTGGAACAAAAATATTGGTAAGAATGTAGGGAAATGAGCAGCCATAATTTTGGGTGCTGGTATAATCTGGTAGAAACTCTTATATGGGCATTGGTAATATTCATCATATAGGTGTTTCTAATATTCATCAAAATTTAATTGCAAGCATCCTTTGATCTAGCAATTGCACTGAGAGGCATTTAACAGAGATGGACTTACAAAAGCTCATGAAGATGTACAGTGTACATTATAAAAGCCAAAAAAATCAATCATACAACAGAATAGTCATTAAAAACAATATGATACAGAAAATTCATCTAACCAAATAAAAAGCAAGGTATCAAAGACTGGTCATTGTATGGCCTTTGTATGTAAAATTTTGAAAAATGATAAATATAAGTAGGTTTGTTTATGCACTAAAAATGGTTAATGAGCCCAATGCAATGGTCTGTATGTATATACTCAGCTACTCAGGGGCCTGAGACAGGAGGAGTACTTGAGCCCAAGAATTAGGAACCAGTCTGGGAATCACAGGGAGACTCCATCTCTTTTAAAAAAAATGGTTAACAGGTGCACACCTTTGTAAATAAACCCAAAATTATTAACCATGTACTTTAAAAAGATGAATTTTATACTATATGATTTATCTCTTAATAAAGTTGTCATTGAAAATGACTGGAGGAGATTAACAACTGTTAAATTTTGGAGAGAGAAATTATAGAAGGGGGAAGGAAATGAGGTTTTCACTTTTTATTATATAATTCACTGAACTATTTGAATTTTCCTATCATAAATATATATTACTTCTACTTTAATTTTTAATGTAAACAGGGGTTATCTATGTGGTAGGATTATAGTTGAGTTTTGTATTCTTCTTTATATGTGACTGTGTGAAGAAATAAGACATGTATGGTTAAATGAAAAAATACAAGTCTTTTTGCCTCTTATCAACTATATAGCTAAACTATAGCCAAACACCAGTCTAGATTTGGCTTGTGTAGTTTCTGCAGGAGATGACTGTAAAAGAGAAAAAACCATACCTGCTTGCAGTATTTGGTTACAGCTGCTCCTATAGGGTGTTCACTGTTACTTTCAGCAGTCCCCACAATGGCTAGGATCTTATTACGTGATATCCTATTACTTTCCACTAGAACCTTTACTTGGTTCACTACTGGGGTTCCATGGGTAATGGTTCCAGTCTTATCGAATACCACTACCTTTACCTGTAAGAAAATTAAAAATACAATGCATCTATGACTTGATAATCCTTAACATCACCTTTCCAGAAATGAGAAAATACCTACTTTGACAAACAGATTACTATTTTGTTTTGTATAGACTGACTTTTGACTTAATTTGACTTCATGGTCTTTGGGAAAAGAAAAGGAAAAACACTCAACAGTTTAATACTGCTAAATGTCTGAGAATACGTGATTAAACAATCAGAGCTAATTGTTAAGGGTTGGCTGTTAATAGGTAATTAAGAGGCCTCTGGCGCCTCCAGGGAAAACACAAAGGCTTTCAATACTAATGAATTATAGATCCATTGGGGAAATCTGGGCAGTATACAGATGATTATAAGAAAATAGTTAAGTAATTACGCTGAGATGAGTGCCAGTAAAGACTAGCTGTGTTGCTTTGGCTTGATTTGAGACTTGGGCTGAGAAGAGAAATCTCAGGGAACCAAAGTGGGAAACTCAGCCCACAATGGAAAAGGGAAGAATCTGGAATTTCAGAACACACGCACCTCACTGTAAACGCAAGATAAGAACCTTGAAAAACAATAGCTCAAGGAACAAAGATTAAAGAGAAATGAATATTAAATACAAAGCATGATTCTGGACAAGAAAAAAATATATCTATAAAGGGCATTATTGAGACAATTGAGGAAACTGGAACATGGGTGTAGATAATAGTATTATATCAATATTAATTTCTTGATTTTGATAATTGTACTGTGGTTACATAACGGAGTGTCTTTGTTCTTCAGAAAGGTGCCCTTCTCCTGCAGCAAAGGTTGTATGGTTTTCTATCCTAGTCCTGCAACTTTAAATTTGGAATTATACCAAAATAAAAACATTTCTGTGAAAATGGCCTGTATTCACTGGCTAGATACAGTTCCAGATTTCTTCTATATTTATTGCATGCATCTGTATATACTTTATATCCTCATATTAGTAGAAATGTGTGTATTTATTTATTTATGAATGAAATGTGGTTTTAATTGAAGTCAAATAGCCTTAATTGAGATTATGAAATCCTAATATGAGACAGATCAGGGACACAATTATATTTCTGAAGTCATGGCTTAGAACTGCCAGCTGGTGGCAGCAAAGGCAAAGAAAGTGCATTGTAAAGGCAGGTGCAAGTTAATGCTGAAGAACATAAACAGGGAGTCACACACAAATGCATTAGAAGCCTGCTAATCTTTGGCAAATTTTCCCAAGTAAATACTTATTCCATCTTCCTGCCCTAAAGACTTGTCTAGACTGAGCTACAGGTTTCCCACATCAGTCTGCTCTAAGAAAATAAATCTGAAGTATTTTCAGAGATCTTTGATAACTAAAGCCAATCTGAAGCAGAACCAAAACACTTTTCTACCTCAACCATCAGAACAGTCCAAGAAAAAAATCAGCTTATGAACTACGTGGAAATAATTTAGGACTCTCTTCTCAAGAAGGATGCTATTACAAGTTTGGATGGGGCAATTTGTAGTTCTGGGAACTGCCTTACCTTATGAGCCATCTCCAATGGCTCTCCACCTTTGATAAGTATGCCATTTTGAGCACCTACTCCTGTACCCACCATCACAGCAGTTGGAGTGGCCAGTCCCAGTGAACAGGGACATGCAATACACAAAACTGTGATAGAGGCTTGGAAAGCAAAGCGTATTATCGTTTCTGTTCGGGAGATACTTCTATTGTAGCCCTTTAGAAGAAAGGTATAAATTTTGGTTAATTGATTTAAAGCTGTTCAAAAGAAAAGAAACAAAGCTTAGCCAATTTAAATAAGACAACAATGTTAAAGTTACATATCCTACCTAGATACCAACATATATGTTTTGGTTACTAGTAAGAAAATTTTTCTTTCATGAATATAATAGTGACATAACTGATAAATAAGTACTAAACTCAAGATTTCATTTTTTATTACTCCAGCATTACAAACTATGGAGTGAATATAAAAGGAAGACAAAACTCCACTTTTTTCTCTTTTTTTTTCTTCTTCTTCTTTCTTTTTTCTTCCCCATATGAAGACTGAGTGTTCATACTATGAACTTTCAGGAATAGCTATAAACATGGGGCATGATTCTCAATAAATGTGATTCTGAACAAATAGAATTCTAGTCCTCTGCATGCTAAGATCATAAATCTGGGGCTGGGGATATAACTCAGCTGATAGAGTGATTGCCTTACATGCACAAGGCCCTGGGTTCAATTCCCAGCAACACACACACACACACACACACACACACACACATACACACACACACACACCCAAAAAAAGATCATAAATCTGCCTTTTACACTATTCTTTAAAGACAATGAAAAAACTCACCTGGCATGTCAAGGTATTTAAATCATATTTCAACAAAATTCTTTCAGATGTAACAATGTGAACTGAGCTTATGCCCTAGTTGAGCTCCTAGTAACACTGAGTGCTCATGTGGGGAAATATGATTAGCAGTTTTAGGCAAAATCTCTGAGGACCCATGGAATTCACGAGAAAAATTCCTGAAGAACACACATTCTAAAATATTTTCCAACAATCTTTTTTTTAAAAATTTTTTTAAGTTGTAGTTGGACACAATACCTTTATTTTATTTATTTATTTTTATGTGGTACTGAGGATGGAACCCATCGCCTTGCATGTGCTAGGTGAGCACTCTACCACTGAGCCACAACCCCAGCCCCCTTCCAAAAATCTTACTGTTAATTGTGCACTTAACCGAGATGGATAGCTTAAACAAATATTTTCATATTATGTACATATATGTTATACTAATAAATGATGTACGAATATGATGTACTAATGACTGAAACATGAAATAGATACACAGTTGTTATGATTCTATGTTTTGTTTTGTTTTGGGTTGGTTTTGGTCCCAGGGAATGAACTCAGGGGCACTCAGCCACTGAGCCACATCCCCAACCCTTTTTCAGATTTTATTTAGAGACAGGGTCTCCCTGAGTTGCTTAGTGCCTTGCTTTTGCTGAGGCTGGCTTTGAATTCTCAATCCTCCTGCCTCAGCCTCCCAAGCTGCTGGGATTATAGCCATGTGCCACCATGTCCAGCTATTTTTTTTTTTTAATACCAGGGACACTTAACCACTGAGCTATACCCCCAGCCCTTTTTTATTTTGAGACAAGATCTGAGTTGCTCAGGGCCTCACTAAGTTGCTTGAGTTCATAAACCTCCTGCCTCAGCCCCCTGAGTTACTTGGGATTTCAGATGTGTGCCCCGACACCTACTTTCTACTTTTTCTTTAACTGAAGGAACAAAAAGTATAAAACAGTGTACAGCATGGCATTTAAAAAAATAAAACAAAGTAAATCTTTCTTAAAGTGCTAGGGTTTTTACTAAGTTCTTAAATATTCAACCAACAATAGATCTATATAGAAATGAAATTGGAAAAGATTTTTACAGATATCTAGTGTTGCTTTCATGTATATCATATATGTATGTTTTCACATATGTTTTAACTAATACTAATTATACTTCTACAATGTAGGTATTATTATCTCTATTGTATAGCTAAGAAAATGGAAGATTACAGAAGTGATTTAAATTTATATATCTAATTTGAGGCACAGAGCAAGTCTACTTTATCACTTTACAACAACAAACTTTAGAGATCATCTGAAGTTTTTCTAATGTATCTATATAGTCTTTTGTGAAAACAAAATCACGCCAGAAACAAGACTAAGTATAAAATGCAAAAGTTCAATACTTCCTTTTGGAAAAATCACAAAGCATAATGAAAATTTTTTTCCAAAAGGAAATCTTTTATGTTTACATAAAAGCAAGTTTATTCTCATGAGTCTCCCACTCCATCCCCTTAAAGATACAGTAGTTTCCAATTATCTGTGGTTTGAATTATTAGCAGTTTGAGAAAACTGTGGTCCAAAAATATTAGGTGGAACCAGGCGTGATGGCACACACCTATAATCCCAGAGGGAAGGAGGATTACGAGTTCAAAGCCAGCCTCAGCAACTTAAGAACCCCTGGGTCCCATCCCAAGTACAAAAAAAAAAGATTATATATATGAAAATTACAGAATAAATAATTTGTAAGTTTTAAATTGCATGCCATTCTGAGTAGCCTGATGAAATTTCATTCTGTCCCACTGGGATATGAATTATCCCTTTGCTCAGCATATCAATGCTAAATACTACTCACCCATTAGTCACTTAGTAGCTTTCTCTCAGTTATCTGAACAACTGTTGAGGTATTGCAGTATTTGTGTTCAAGTAGTCCTTCTTTTTTTTAATATTTATTTTTTTTAGATTAAGGTGGACACAATATCTTTATTTTACATTTATGTGGTGCCGAGGATCAAACCCAGTGTCTCATGCATGCTAGGTGAGTGCTCTACCTCTGAGCCACAACCCCAGCCTAAGTAGTCCTTCTTTTATTTAATAATGTCCCCAAAGTTCAACAATATGATGTTGACAATTTGAATATGACAAAGAGATGTCATAAGTGCTTCCTTTAGGTGAAAAGGTAAAAGTTCTTGACAATAACGAAAGAAAAAAATTATGCTCAGGTTGCTAAGATCTACTATAAAAATGAATCATCTACTAGTGAAACTGTGAAGGAAGAAAAATAATACAGGCTAAATTAGTTGCATATCAAACTGCAAAGTTATAATCACAGTACACGATAAGTACTTAGTTAACATAAAAAGGCATTAAATTTGTGTGTGTATATTATATATATTTACACACACACACATATATATATATATATATATATATATATATAAATGAATGAATGAAAATTATATATATATAGTGTTTAGTACTATCTGTGCTCTTTCAGGCATCCACTGAGTAGGGTCTTAGAACATGTTCCCTGGAGAGAAGTAGATACTAGAGTAGTGGTAATTTTTTTTTTTTTGAACTGGGGATTCAAGATTCAACCCACATCCCCAGCCCTATTTTGTATTTTATTTAGAAAAAGGGTCTCACTGAGTTGCTTAGTGCCTCAGTGTTGCTGAGGCTAGCTTTGAACTCATGATCCTCCTGCCTCAGCCTCCCAAGCTGCTGAGATTATAGGCATGTGCCACCATACCCAGCCAATACCCTTTACCCAATTTATTTTTTCTTTTTGGAGCCAGGCCTTATGCATGCCAGGTAAGCAAGCATTCTACCACTGATCTATACTCCCAGCCCATACTGGTAATTTTATAAATTATGTCCACATAATTACTTCTGCAAAAGACTCACAAATGGTTTTGCATAATGAGTTGTTCCAAGTCACTTACAGGAAAGTAGGTTTCCACAATTTCAAAATTCAGAAATCCAATTATAATCCATACCAAGAGGGTAGCAATGGAAACAAATACGATAAAAGGAACAAAATAGCCACTGAGTTTGTCTGCAAACTGCTGGATAGGAGCCTAGAATTAAAAATCATAACAATAATAATTATTATTTTATCTCAAAGTCTCTTTTCCTGATACTGAATACAGAAGATTTTTTCAGTAGTTAGCACAGATAGAAATATCTTAATAAACCCCATAATCATTCAACAAAAATATAAAATCTTGAACAAGATTTACTTGGAGAAGGCTTTAAGGAAAATACTTTTCTTTTTCTACTGGGGGGGGGGTTAAGCTACCTTTGATGTTTGTGCCTCCTCCACAAGTTTGACAATTTGAGAAAGGGTTGTGTCTGCTCCAACGTGGGTTGCTCGGATAAGTATGGACCCATTCTGGTTAATGGAACCAGCAATCACTGTGCTGCCAGGTTTTTTAGCCACAGGCATTGCCTCCCCTGTAGGAATAGTAAAGACAGATTCAGGCAGCATAGATGATCACTACTTTCAAACATACTACCATTTGTTGACTGTCAAGAAATAAGGAAACTACTGGCATGTATAACTAAAAAGAACAAATTTTTTAAAAAGAAACTAGAGAAGATTCTCCCTTTATGAAATAGATACTGGACAAATGCCTAGGTGAAAGTTGCCTTCCCCTTTTCCTCATGTCAGTTCTAGGACAAACCCAGGGATACATACTTCAAACTGAAAACCCTAATATGTTAGCTGTTGCTAAGAGATACTTTTGGAACTTCACCCTAGTCCTAGATCACTGGTTCTCAACTTGTTCTCAAGGAGCACTTAGAAATGTAGGCAGGAGTTTTTCTTTGCAATAAAAATGACTGGAATGAAAGGGCATGGGAAAATGGACCAAGGTCAGGGACACTAATTTGTACTACAGTGAATAAGACAGTCCCCCTGAACTAAGACTTTTTCCATCCAGATTGGAAAAGGCACCCCTACAGAGCATTAAATTATTTCTCCATGGTCCATAAACTGAGCCCCTTCTGGGACTATCTAGAGAGTTGAGGAGGAAAGAAGTTATTTTAATTCTGCCCCTAATTGGCCTTAATTATCTAAGACCTCTAAAAATACTCTAGGCCTACTCTCTTTTAGAGCAGACCCTGATACAAAAACCTTGTATTTGTAACCCAGATCAGACTCGACCAGTCTTTTGGGCAAGAAGAGAGAACAGATAATTTCCCAGAAAAAAATTTGCCAAAGCCTATCTGGCTCTAAAGGAGACTAAGACAACTTCCTTTGGTTAGGAATTCGGGTAATTAATAATCTTCAATGAAGAGTCTCCAATAGCATAACTAAAACCACAAAGCAAATCTGAAGAAACTCATTTAACACAATCTTAAAAGTAATTCATATTCTCTTTGCTCATAATTCACTCATGTACAGATTCTACAAAAAGTGCTTCATCTTTAGTGCCTATATTCATTAACACTTTGGATTCAGTTCACTTTCATATCACGAGCCTCTAAAAGAAACATTACCTGTGATGAGGGATTCATCTACCATAGAATGTCCTTCAATAACTCGACCATCCACTGGAAATTTGCCTCCTGGAACAACTTTAATGATATCTCCACGTTGTACAAGTTCCACATCCACTTGTTCTTCACTGAATGTAAGTTAACATAAAAAGTATCATAACAATATAGTTTTTACCCTGACCTACCAATGTAAGCTTTGTAGCTCATGTCAAGCTTCAGGCTCCATAATTACTACCAATGGAAGCTAAGATCTAAGTCAGAACTACCACATTGGTCTTGCTTACTGTTAGTGAGCACAAAATATTTGTTGAATAGTCATTTAATGAATATTTACTAAATATTTGTTGAATAGTCATTTAATGAATAAGTGAAAGATTTAAAATAATGTTATGGGTTCTATTTAACTGAAAAATTTATTGTGTAAATTTATCTAATAATTTTACGAGTATAAAACTGACAAATACAAAGGAATGGAATCTAATCAAGCCTTTAGCTCTAATTTCCAATTTATAAGTAACATAGGAGTTACAGAATAAGTTAAATGAACCAAGTGTGGAGGCACACACCTGTAATCCTAGTGATTCAGGACTCTGAGGCAAGAGGATTACAAATTTGAAGCTAGCCTCAGCAACTTAGCAAAGCCCTAAGCAACTCAGTAAGACCCTATCACAAAATAAAAAAGGTGAGAAATGTAGCTCAGTGGCAAATCACCCCTGGATTCAATCTCCAGTACCAAAACAATAAAAATAAACAAGTTAAATGATACCACAAGAAAGCTAAGAGACAAATTTAGATAGTGGAACATTATATAGAACAACTGATGGATGCTTCTTCAACAAGTCAATTATACTGGGGGTGGGGAGAAAGAGAGGAAGGAGATATTCTAGATTAAAAGAAACATAAGATACATGATAGGAATGTATACATGAATCAAAACATCACACTGCATCTCAAATATTTACAAATATTGTGTGTCAATAAAAACTCTAATAATGTTTTTTGGTATCAGGGATTGAACCCAGTGGGGGCTTAACCACTGAGACACATCCCCAGCTATTTAGAGAAGGGTCTCACTGAGTTGTGTGGGGCCTCAATAAGTTGCTGAGACTGGCTTTGAGCCACTGGGATTACAGGCACATGCCACTATGCCTGGCAAAACTCAATTAATTTTTAAAAACTGCAAATGATACAGTGATATTACTTGAATTCTATTTCAAACAAAGATACTTAAGACATTTTGGAGACAAAAGGAGAAATGTGAATACGGATTGATTATTAGAAGACATTAAGTAGCTGGGCATGATGGTGCACACCTGCAATCCCAGTGACTTAAGAGGCTGAGGTAGGAGGAGAATTGCAAATTCAAGGCCAGTCTCAGCAATTTAATGAGACTCTTATCTCAAAATAAAGACAAATAAAAAGCACTGGGGATATGGCTCAGTGGTAAAGCACCCCTGGGTTCAAAAAAAGAAGACATTAAGGAATCATTGTTTACTTTGATAGATGGAAAATGGAATATGTCCCCCTTTTTAGAAGTATTTATACAGAATTTTAGCAATAAAACAATATGGTTTGGATATGCTTTTTTTGGGAAGTACTGGTGATTGAACCCAGAGGTAATCCACCACTGAGTTACATCTCTAGTCTTTTTTGTTTGTTTGTTTGTTTTTGAGACAGGGTCTCACTAGGTTGCCCAGGCTGGCCTAAACTTCTACTACAACAACAGAAAGAAAGATAAAATGACTAGATGAAGTAAAGCGTGGCAAAATATGGAAAACTGTTAAGTCTGGGAGATGGATTATGTGGTCTTATGAAACTTTTCTCTCTACTGCCAGGTATATTTGAAAATTTCTGTAAGAAGTTAAAAAAAAGAGAAAGGAAAAGAATGAAGATAAATACCTCAGGAGGATATTTTCAGAGTTAAGAGTTACAATAGTTGCTTCTGTAGCTTGTAGTGAAATCAGCTTTGCAAGAGCCTCTGATGTTTTGCCCTATAAATTAAAACAAATACATTAGCAATGCTAAGAAATAGAATGTTCAGATCTTAATTAAAATTAAGATATAACTTTAACATTTACCAAAAAGTCAGCTTTGGAAATATTAATTTGTTCAAACGAGAAAAAAGTTCATATCAAAAATATGAAGCGGGCTGGGGCTGTAGCTCAGTGGCAGAGCACTTGCCTAGCATGCATGAGGCACTGGGTTTGATCCTCAGCACCACATAAAAATAAATAAATAAAATAAAGGCATTTTGTCCATCTATAACTACAATAAAAATATTTAGAAATGAAGCATACAAAATATTGAAAGTATTAAATATATTTTATTAAAAGTATACATTAAAAAGAAAATATTAGGAATTCAATAAATACATTGGAAAAGGACATAATAGGCAAATCATTTAAAAAGAAATATAAATATCCACTGCATGGAATAGTGTGTATTACTAATGGAAAAAATACAAGCTAAAGCAACCCATTAATATCATTTAATGCCTAATAACTTTGCCTAATAACTGCCTAATAACTGACATACCCTTGACGGCAAAACACTTCTGGCTACAACTTATAGCAAGAAACAGAGAAAGTTTTATGCCCTTTAACCTGGTAATCACATTCTTTATAATTTCAATAAAGATACTAGTTCAAAAGAAATAACTATTAGACATGAATATGTTCAATGCAGAATTATCTAAAATTTTTTAAAAATGGAAACAACCTAATTGTGAACAAAAGCAAAATAGTAAACTAAAGAATGCTGACTTAATATGCTATTATTCAGAAATATTAATAATTGCCGGGTGCGATGATGCACACCTGTAATCCCAGCAGTTGGTAGACTGAGGCAGGAGGATCACAAGTTCAAAGCTAGCTCAGCAAAAAGGAGGTGCTGAGCAACTCAGTGAGACTCTGTCTCTAAATGAAATAGAAAATAGGGCTGGGGATGTGGCTCAGTGGTTGAGTGCCCGAGTTCAACCCCTGGTATGCCCCATAAAAAAAAAAGAAAGAAATATGAAATAATTCTCTAGACTGCAAAAACTGGGGAAAAAACTTATAGTGTTAAGGATACAAAGTGCTAAATATACATTATGTTTGTAAATCTTAAAAAGAAAGGAATTAGAAAGCAACTTAAATTATAACATTGGGACCATGGATGAAATTTTTCCATCATTATTTTAAACCATGTGGTTACATCAGTCTTTTAATTAGTAATGTGATATAAATAAGTGTTTCTCAAATATCTCCCTCTTAAAATAACCATGTACATACTTTATTCTATAAATTTGTTAAATCTATTAAAGTACTATTCAACTTAAATATTACCAAAACAAAAATACTTCTTTCATGAAAGGGAATCAGGAGAAAGGGGAGGGAAAACTAAAGGAAGGTAATGGGGAAGTAGATAAATCAGAGTATGTTATTGGCATGTACTTATATGTCACAATGAAACCATTCAAATGCACTAATAAAAAATGTTCAAAGGGGAGGTACTGGGGAATGGAATTAACCAAATTACATTATATGCATATATGAATATGTAACAACAAATCCCATTATTATGTATAATTATAATGCACCAATAAAAGTAAATTTTAAAAACCAATTTTTCCCAAAACCTACTTATTGCAGTAAATGGTTTACTATATAAATCAATGTAGAAAATATTGTGGTCATTTATCTGATACCCAGGATTTTAATAAACATCAACCTTTATTACTTTACCTTTGCTATATGTTCCAGCCATCGGCCTAGTGCAATAAACACAAACAACATAGGAGGTGTGTCAAAGAAAGTAATAGGGTTCACTTTGGCTCTCTCATACATTGCAACCAGAAGAATAACCAAAGAGTAGGCAAATGCAATGGTGGTTGCCAGCACAATCAGTACATCCATATTTGCTGTCTTATGCTTCAATGCTTTGTAAGCTTGAATGTAGAAGTACCAGCCTCCGAAAAACTGTAATATAGGAATGATAATCATTCAGTATTTAAAAATACCAAAATCCACATGTACTCTTCAACAACTTAAAGTATCAATATCTACAATTCCTTTGGCTTTTAACTGATACACAAATATAAGGGGAGATTTTTAAGCTGGGGCAAGTTTATATTTTAGCAGATGTGGATGTAGAAATTCAAATTGCTGTACAAGTCCTTGAGGGCTGTCTTTTGTGATCCAATGGATATTTCACATTATAAGGAAAGATAGCTAGTTCTTGGATTTTTCTTTTTGATATTAACAAAACACAACAACAAGGACAAAAATTTACATTTTGGTCAGGATTTTAAAATATTTTTGTTATACATGTTAAAAGTTATAATAACAGTAGAATCTATTTTGATACATTTATATGAGCACGGACAATATCTTATTCTAATCAGGATCCCTAATTAGGATGTAATGTTGAGATTCACTGTGGTGTATTTATATATGTATGTAGTAAAGTTATATCAGATTCATAAAACTCAACCCCTTCACCTAGTACCATTAGTCATCCTAAGTGGTATTTTACAAGCTATTGGATCTATTGGCTGCATTTGTTGGTAAACATAACTAGAAAGCTCATTTTCATTAGTATGAGAAACATACTAAGATGTTTTTAAAATCATTATTACCTTTTATAAGGATCAAATAAAGGAATAAATTTATTAAATGGAAGTGTTCTATTCCACAAAGTTCATCTCAAGGGCTGGGGTTGTGGCTCAGTGGTAAAGTGATTGCCTAGCACGTGCAAAACCCTGGGTTTGATCCTCAGCACCACGTAAAAATAAATAAATAAAATAAAGGTATTGTGTCCAACTAAAAAATAAATATATATATATATATAAAAAGTTTATCTCAAAACAAGGGTTGAAAACATACAGAAAGTAAGAAACTGAAGTGCCAGGGAAAAATAATAAATATAAAGCTATATTCAGAAATAGATATGAATATCAAATCCAAAAATTTGAATTCTTGTTCTCTGCTTTGTCATTAACAACATTCTTAGGAATTAAATGACATCTTTTATGTACTTCAACTAACTATTCAGTTTAAAATTAGTTTTGTAAAACATCCAACATAAAATGATCAGATATCTCACTAATACCTGTTTTGCAATCAGAAATAACTTCCCCAGCCACATTTTGGATATTTTTTCATTACTACCAAATATGCATGCTATATTTCACTTGCCTGTACAGGTACACATAATAAAAAAGACAGCAAATTCATAATGGACAATCCTGGCAGGATCTGGCGCTCCAGGAACATAGAAGAATGAATGTTGATCATTTCCTCATTACTAATGTTCCGATTATGGTGAAGAGTTGTAAGGTGGTGGTCCATAACCATCATATATATCATCAGCCCCATTACAGGAATACAGAAAAATAGGCTCACAAGGAAGGACCGTCTCCATCTTACATGGAAAAAAGTAAGAAAAGAAACATAATTTATTAAGTAACTAATGGTTAAAGATGCTATATACTATAAAGAAATTCAAATTGTAACCTTTCTACCTAGTATAAGGATGACATAAAAACTCATATGCTATCAGGAAGTTAAATTTTCAATGAGAGTCAAAATCTGTTTTTTTTTTTACTGACATCCCAAAAAAGTACTTACTGTCTTATTTCTCGTTTATGGTCTAGGTGACTTGCTGACCGATCCTTCTTGACCAAAGAAGCTTCAAAACCTAAGCTCTAAGGAAATTCATGAGAAAACAATTATTTCACTCAACATATAAATATTATATAGAGAAATTCTAAGCCATGATATTGTTATTTAGAGCAATTCAGTTCAATTACTGAGTGTAAGTCCCTCTGGGAAATATGTAGATTATGTGCTTCCTGATGTTGATTACCTTTGTTTCTAATATTTCATCAAATAAGTTAATATTTCCTTAATTTTAGTTAATGTCTACCTTTCTTCTCTCAAACTAACAATTTAACTCAACTGCAGTTGTCCTCAGTAGAGGTTCTCATTAATAGTTCACAAAAGGGCTGGGGTTGTGGCTTGGCGATAGCGTGCTCCTCTTGCACGTGGGAGTCGCTAGGTTCAATCCTCAGCACCACATAAAAATAAATAAATAAAATTAAAGTATTGTGTCCAATTACAACTAACAAAAATTTTTTTTAAAAAAATAGTTCACAAAAGCTAGCACCATACTAAATACATTATTCAAGGCCTCATGTATGCTAGTCTTGATTCTATCAGAAATAGAACTTAAATGAAAATCATTTTCCCCAATAAAACAAAGTATAAAAAGGAAATTACACCTAAATGAGACTCACATGAGTTTAGATACTAACATACACTATATTTTTAACTGCTAGGAAAACTGTTGCCATCTTACATCTCGGTAGTGTAGTACAGAGAAGAGAGTCAGAGTGATTAGGTTCAAATCCCAGTTATACTTACCAGTTATGGACAAGTAACTTCTCATAACCTGAGTATCCTCATCTCCAAAATTAAGATGGCTATGCTGCTATGGGAATTAGGAATTGAAGCTTTGCAATCTTGCATTATTGAGTACCTTCACGTCAATATGATACCTTTGTGTCATACGTACTCAATAATTCTAGCTTCACTAAGATGTTAATGGTATTATTACCTTTACTAATTGGATCTTCTCTGAATTATTAATATACTTTAGATTATTGGAAGATCAATTTTACAGCACACTGAAATTGTTAAAGGACTTTCCATGTATTATTGCTTAAAATTTGCTAAAGAACACAGGATAAATATGGTGCAAAGAAAAGGGCTTGTCTTTTTTAATTCTTTTACTTTAACTTAAAAACAGAGTTTTTGCTTTGACCTAACAATGTATCTAACATGATGCTTAATCTGCTTAGTGATTAACAAAAATCTTACTCATAACAAATCTGATTTATTTCCATTTTCTATAGCTTATGGTATACTTAGAGTATAGCTTATGGTATAGCTTATGCCTAACATGTGTGAAGCCCTAAGTTTGATCCCCAGCACCACACACATAAAAAGTCTTCACTTCCATTTTCTAAATATTTTAAGTGAGTTGTAGTTCTAAATTAAGTCTGTTTGTAATTAATAGTGCTTTAAATGTACCTTTGCTTAAATTTTCCTAACAAAGACCAAGGAAAAAAATCAGAAACATTTGCATTAGATTTTGAGATAGAGAGATCTTGTCTGGAATATTCAAAGGGGTCAGATTTTTTTTTCATTATCTCTATCTGAAGTAAAACAGATGTGATATACTGAGGTGTTGGTTAAGTAGGTAAGAATACAGAAGTGCAAAGCCTTGGTACTTACTTCAATTGTATGGATAATATCTCTGGGACCAATAATTTCTGGATCATATTTAATATGTGCTTTGTTTGTTGCCAGGGCCACAGAGCAGTAGAAGACCCCTCTGTGTTTTGTGAGAGTAGACTCTATTTTATGTACACAAGAGGCACATGTCATTCCTCTTACCTGTAGAAGAAAAAGCCTTTGTTATTCAGAAATATTCTTTTTCCTTCCATTAAATATGAGTTAGTACTTTTAACTAAAAGGACTCTTAAGAAAAATCTCATCTGTCCTGTCAGTATGCTTCAGATATTATTATTAGAATATCATTTTTATATTTTATATTAGAATATCATATTTATATTACATGAAACAAAGATATATAGTCCAGATAGAAGAGTATTTCATTAAAAATCTATCTCTTCCTGTCCCTACTACTAAGTAATAGAGGATTTGGTATCTCTCATTGTTTCTCATATCTAAATGCCTTGCTTCTCTCTAGATTTTTTTGCATCCTGCTGAAGTATATAGCCTTTAATATTACTTTCAGTGAAAGTTAATAGGTGACTAAAAAGTTTCAACTTTGTGTCTATAAAGATATGGTTTTCTCTACATCTTAAGTTGGGTTATTGTTTAGTTATGTATTAAAATTTAAATTGAATGGGCAGGATTTTCAGAATGACTATGTGAGGACCTCAGCAAATCCTTTCCTCAAAGAAAAACAATAGGCCAGGCCTATCACAGGTGCACACCTTTAACACTGGCAACCTGGGAGGCTAAGGTAGGAAGATAACAAGTTTGAGGCCAGCCTGGGCAACTTAGAGGGATTACAGGCATGTGCCACTGTGCCTGGCTGTATTGTTATTCTTTTAAATAGCTGTATTTTGTTCCATAACATGTCTACACTTAATTTATATAGCCATTTCTTATTAAAAGACATTTAGGTTGGATCTAAATTTTTGTTCTTAAAGTTTTATAACAAATATAACTTTATATATGCTCATATTTCTATAGGAAAGAACCCTAGCAGCTGATTTTCCAGGTTGGAGAAAATGATCTTTTTTGGAAAATGATCATTTGAAACCAGTATGCCCTACATCTGTTCTATAAATTCATTTATAAAATTTAAATCTTTAGTGTATCTGGAATTCATTCTTTACTAGATAGAAATCATGCTACATTAAAAAGTTGATTTTCATTTACTCATTCAAACCTAATTCTTAATGAACATACAACAATTATATTCTATGCTTGAAGACCACCACAAACTCATATTTTATCTTTCCTTTATTTCATTATATATCTTATTTTCCCAGCCTTTATCTTCAGAACTTTTCTATGAACCCTCACCAAGTTTCCCTGGAAATTTTATTAACCATACAAAAAGTCTTACTTACAACAAGTTCCAAAACACCATCCCCTTCATCAGCATTTTCTATCAAAGTGGCACCAAATCCAAGGTCTCGGATGAATTCTGCTATCAATGGTGGTTGTATAACAGTAGGATTATATCTTACTTCTGCCTTGCCAGCCATCAGGGCAACAAGTACAGAAAATATTCCTAGGATAAATAAAACAATAGAGATAATAGTCCTTCTAAAAAAAGAGTAATGTTATAATTATATTTTTGTATTTTTTCATTTAACTATAAAGGATCAAAGTAAAATTAATTACTTAACTTTATACAAGTCTTGAACCCAAACCAAATAAAACTCTTTGTCCTTCATAAACCTTTTATGGAAAGTTTCAGTTATATACGCATAAGAGAGGAAAAACACAAATAACTTGATGCAAACGTCACCCAGATTCTACAATTATCAATACTACTTGGCCAATTTTCTTTTTCTTTTAAGAGACAGGATCTCCCTATGTTGCCCAGACTAGCCTCTAACGCTTGGGCACAAGTGATCCTTGGGAAGTAGCTAGGACTACAGGTATGTGCCACCACACCCAGCTTTTATTTATCTATATTACTACACATGGTATTCCTCGCCCTCTACCTGGATTATGTTGAAGAAAATCCCAGATGTTATATCATTTCATGTGTAAATATTTAAATATGTATTTCTCAAAGATAAAGACCCCAAAGATAATCAAAATAGGGTTGGGGTGTATCTCAGTTGTAGAATGCTTGCTTATCTTGCATAGAGCCCCAGCAACACAAAATATAAATGAATAACCATAATACCATTTTGCACCTAAAATAATTCTTCATTATCATCAAATACTCAGGAAGTATTCACATTTCTACAAATTGTATTATAACTATTCATTAGTTTAACAGTTTTTTGCTTGAATTGGGATCCAAGTAAGCCCTATGGATTGTAATCAGTAAATTGACTATACTTGTAAACATAAGCATTTTTAGAAGCTAATAAGATAGAGTTCTGGAGAAAGTAACTTAGACAATCATCACAATTGTAGCAAAGAATCCAAGAATATACCAATGTACATATTGTAATATTATTAAATAATAATCATTTCTTAAAATTCTTCAGTTTCATTGTCTAGCACACACTAAGCTAAAAGGCTCTTATTCCTTGGGAAAAAAAGTGTCATACAACTTGCTAACAAAGCAATCAACATGATTGCTGTTTGTTGGTACAAACTTTTGTTAAAATCCATTTCAGGGCCTGGGGATGTGGCTCAAGCGGTAGCAYGCTCGCCTGGCATGCGTGCGGCCCAGGTTCGATCCTCAGCACCACATACAAACAAAGATGTTGTGTCTGCCGAAAACTAAAAAATAAATATTAAAAAATTCTCTCTCTCTCTCTCCTCTCTCACTCTCTCTTTAAAAAAAAAATCCATTTCACTTATGTAGACTAGCTACTGCTGTCACTGCAAGAAGATAATTAACTCCACACAGCAGAATAGCAGCACTTTCTAGGAATCTGTGGTACTTGGTGGCTATCTGACAGGAAATGGAGCTAATAGTCCATAGGTCAGCTCTGCAGTTTGACAGGAAGGAAAAAAAATACTGAATATTAATTTAATAATAGTTTCAAGTTTAAAAGTACCTAATATACAAACTCTATGCATTTTGGGCTTTATGGGTACCAAATAATTGAGATGATCAGTTTACAAGAAGAATGTCAATAGGAAGAGAAGGGTATACAGAAAGAGGGAAAAAAATCTTTTTGTTTCAGTTGATTGTAATCTATAGCTAAGCAGAAACAGAAAGGAAATATAATTTTTCAGATTTCAAAAATGTTGAAACTTATGTTCAGGGGCTGGGGTTGTAGCTCAATGGCAGAGCGTTCATCTAGTATGTGTGAGGCACTGGGTTTGATCCTCAGAACCACATAAAAATAGACAAAATAAATACATTCTGTCCATCTACAACTACAAAAAAATTAAAAAAATATAAATTAAAAATATAAAAATTCAATCACTTATATAGTTAATTTTTTAAAATTCCTCTAACTATAATTGGAACTCTTTTGATTCTTTTCTTTTTCTTCTTTTTGGTAGTGGAAATTAAACCCAGAATGAATTTTTTTAAAAAAAGCACCTGCTCTACAACTGAATTTTACTTTCACTGACTCTATTCATTTTTAGAAATATAATGCACACTTAATTGAGTAAATGCTAATGCTACTTAGTTTAAGAAAAGTGAATATAGTGACCAAAGCAAGGTTAGCAATATACCTAATTGGGCTAAGAGGTGATAAAGGGTACAGTATATAGTAAATGGAACAAAGTGCTGAATGAACTAAAAAAATTTTGTAACTGGTACAGGTATTGCTTGTTTCATAAAAAGCCAATTTCTGAATTGCCCCAAAATATTCAGTTCCCTAATTAAACAGGAACCTTGCTAGCTTCTTTTTGTTCACTTGCTTGGCAACCTCCCTCTTTTTTGAAATAATCAAAATAACTTAAGCGTTTACCACATTCCAGTTTAAAATCATGGGGGGGGGGCTGTAATGAAGGATGCAGACATAACAGAATGCAGATAAGATAGTATTAAACTGAAGATGGCTCTGTATATCATATATTTTGTTGAAATAATGTTTTCACCTTAATACATAGATGTTGTGATTATTACATACACTTGGAGTTATTTACCCAATGATGAGGGTAAGTTTACACTCATCCTTATTTCCTTATCCAACCCTTGTGAATGTATGACTGAGATATTTAGTAGGTTAGGACAACCTAAGTACCAAAACTAAGACTTAGATCTCATTAAACATAATACATAATCAATATATAATAACTGTAACATCTGAATGGTTAAGAAGAATCCTGTTATACTGAAAGTCTGTAAGTATGAATGTATATAATAAGCTAAAACATCTGAGCATGATTGAATTTAAAAAATTGTGGTATAGATGTTCTAAAATTTATAACTTAAAATCTGGACACAATATTAAGCAATTTTTGCACAGTTTTACCATAAGCAAAGATCAGATAGCAAACTGTTAGAAAAGAACAAATATAGTTTAAAAAATATTGTTTTTGATCGACTGCTTGATCCAGGTATGGTAACACTGAAACCCTGATGGATTCTAATTTTCAGTTTTAAGCATAGCTTTAACAGAAAATTTGTTTCTTAAAATCCATTGTAGCGATGATTCATAAAGAAAAGTAATCCTGTGTATTTCCTTCTGCTATTTTTTTCTGTAATTGTCATTGACATTAAAATGTAACCATGAGGTAAACGAGATAACACTAACAAAAACTGGCTATTAGGACATCAAGGTGGTTCAGCATATCACTGACAATATTTATGAAGAATCATAAATGTGGTTGCAAAACACATAAGAGAACAAAAGGAAAAGAATTCTAAAATTAGTATACAAAATATCAAGCATTAAGTGCCTTACCTTCTTCACGCCTTAAATTCCTTTCAATGTTTGCTACACAAGAAGCACAAGTCATGCCGGTAACCTGTATGTAACACTTAGATGAAGTCTTCGCCTCCTCCTTATTATGAACTGGTGTCATTGTCTTATTTAATTCAATAGTTGATGACAAAGGTGGAATTTCTGATGAGGGCTGAGCTATCACTACTAATGGTTCATTTGTATCTAGAAGAAAGGGAAAGATTCTTTTAATTTGTGATATTGATTATTCTCCAACTGCCACCTTGTCACATATTACAATCCACATCCCCAAACACTGCCAACCCATTTATTTAAAACCAAAAAGTCCTACAATCCTCAGCAAATATGTAGTCTTTACACTTTCCCAGCATTAACTTCCAGTTTCAACAGTGCCCAATATACTGTACTGAAAGCTATGCAAATACAGTCTGTCTTTCAGCCAGGTATGGTGGCACATTCCTGTAATTCCAGCAATTTGAGAAACTGAGGCAGGAGATTGTAAATTTGAGGCAGGAATGGGCACCTTAGCAAAATCCTGTTTCAAAAAATATAAAGGGCTGGGAAATGTAACTCGGTGGTAGAGTGCCCCTGGGTTTAATCCCTATCACAAAATGACAACAACAAAACAGTATTTTCAGACTGTGACTGAATCCAGGTAAGTGAAAACATGAAAAGTGAAACCCTGGACAAGGGAAGACTATTAAGTGAAACAAAAAGCAGTTTATAAAACAGCATTGCAATATGATTTCATCTAAAATGTTTCGGGCATATGCATAAGAAAGCATGGAAAGCTATATAACAAATTTAACAGTGACTACTTCTGGAGTGGGGTTAAGGCAGGGATAGAATGAGAGAAGAACAAATTCCCTCTACTGATGCTCCTTATAGTTTGAAATTTTTAGCACACATTTAAAATGTCTTTGTGGACAGTATAAGAGACAAGGAATAAGAAGTAGTCTTCATTTTGCATAAAGGAGTATTCAGAGAATCTCTATATAGAATATTTATAAACCATGGAACAATTGTCATCCCAGAAGCTCCCCTATAGTCTCAGAAAATATGTCCTAGTTTAGCCATTGAGGTATTAATCGCTTCCCCAAAAGGGAAAGATCATTCTAATACATTTCTGCACCTATAAAAAATGCCAAAACTTTTCCTCTCCTGTTCATGAAGAAGTGATATGGAAATTTCTACTGACCTATCTAAGTTGTTCTTTCTCCCACTTGGACCAAAAAAAAACAATGCAATTCTATTTGGGCTAGTGCACAAAAGAACCCTTGCATGCACAGTTTCCAGGATGTTGAAGAAGAGCATCTTTGGAAGAAACTTTAACAAAAGCCTGATCATTTCCCCAGATTTCTCATATAAGGGGCTGGGGTTGTGGCTAGCAGTAGAGCGCTCGCCCAGCATGTGCAAGGTCCTGGGTTCAATACTCAGCACCACATAAAAATAAATAAATAAAGTTACGGGGTATAATCCATGTATGTATAATATGTCAAAATACACTCTATTGTTACAAATATCTAAAAACATCAAATAAAAAAATGCAGATTCTGGTTTTGTACACTGTAGTTGGGACCTGGGATTCTGCACTTCTACCAATCTCCCAGCTGATGGCCATGCGGCCCAATATGGGTACAGCAAAAGACAGTTTCAATAGTAAAGGACCATATTCTCCCCATTCCTAAATTTGTCAATATCTGATCTTTTTACACACACACACACACACACACACACACACACACACACACATTTTACTTATAGTTGGATACAATACCTTTTATTTTTTTAATGTGGTGCTGAGGATTGAACCTAGTGCCTCCAACATGCTAGGCGAGTGCTCTACCACTGAGCCACGACCCCAGCCCCAATATCTAATCTTAAGTGAATCACTTTGGAAAACTATTCATTCATATTATAATAATGTTATTTAGAATACTGAAGGAGAAAATTTACCAAATATTACCACCCTTTTTGTTTTGTTTTATTTGTTTGTTTACACTACTCAGGATTGAAACCAGGGCCTTATCCATGCTAAGAAAGCACAACTGAGACAGATCCCCAGCCCTTTAAAAAAATTGAAACAGGCTGGCCTCCAACTTGCGATCTTTCTGTGTCAGCCTCCAGTGTAGCTAGAACTACAGACATGAGCAACTTCACCCAGCTTCACTGTTATCTTAAAGGACTCAAAAAGTAGGCTCCTTCAGCAAAAGGTAATAACTTCGGCTTTGAATAAATCCATTATTCTAATATAGCCAGAAACTTCATTCATTCTCTCATAATTACTACTGAATCTTAATTGTGAACTTAGACAATGAGAAAAAATGGTTTGTAGTTCCCATCACTGTAAGTCTTGTTTCAGAGCCATTTAGTTATTTTAGGTACCAGAGGTAACCTTGAATACCATCTGCAATTTTCACACTCTGGAAGTACAGTATTAAAGTCACAGAGGTGGACCCTTCAGTTACTGAGACATGACTTCTAAATAAAGAGTCATAAAACAGTGACCTTTAGTCCTGTGAGTGTGGCAATCAAATAACAAAAGCTTCTACCTTTCACAAAGACAGTGAAGTACTAAAAGGTCCAATGAACAAATGGTTGATGTATGTCTGTCTTTTTTGGGTGGTGGTGGAGATTGAACCCAGGGCCTCTGTGCATACTAGGGAATCACTCTCCCAACTGAGCTATATCCCCAGCCCCTGGCTGGCTTGTAATTAGCTTTTCTACAATACTTCTTATGCTTAAATAAATTAAAAGGAAAGTTGTTTTTCCTATACTTGAGACAATAATTAGAAATTATTAAAAAATCTGAAGGATTTACAATCCAATACTCAAAAGTAGAAGGGGCTCAGTGTAATGTAACAAATACGTAATCTAAAAATGGCTGAAAAACAATGATAAACATCATGTTTGCAATTTACTCTCAAATAGTTCACACACAAAATAATATTCACATATGTATGTATGTATATACATAAATGTATATCAGAGAATGAGAAAACAAAGGTAATGAAATATGAACAACTGGGGATATAAATGAAATTGATAAACAGGTTTTCTTTGTACTGTTCTTACAATTTTCTTGTAAGTTTGAAATTATTAAAAAAAATTACAGCCTGGTGCAGTGGCACATGACTGCAATCCCAGTGATTCAAGAGGCTGACATGGGAGGATCACAAATTCAAGGCCAGCTTCAGCAACACAGCAAGAACCTGTTTCCAAATAAAAAAGGGCTAAGGATGTAGCTTAGTGGTAAAGCACCCCTGAGTTCAATCCTCAGTACTGAAAACATAAAAGTTATAAAAGGAAGAAACTTAAGAGTATTTTGTGTGCTTTAATTGGTTAATGAAAACTTCACATATTGCATGTCTTTTTATTTTACTAGAATGACAATATTGATGGTTGTGATAAAAGGCGTCTCCCATTTTTCTCACAACCTCCTTTAACATTTATGACCCATGCAGGACACAGAAGCAAAAGGCGTTGATCCCTTCATCAGAGAACAAGTCACAGGGGCAGACTCTGAGTAGAGGATTAGCTCTGACACTGATACTCAGAAAATTAAAATGGTTAGCCACAATTCTGGTAGAATCTTGAACTCTGATTGATCTCTAGCAGAACCACAGGTTGAAGTCATTTGATATCAACCTTTAATCCCAATAACATGGGTCACTGTTGTCGCAGCTCTAATTGTTTTAGAGTAACATTCATTGTGCCAGGGTTTTGTTTCATTTTAACCTATCATATCCATTAACATATTTTTATGAGCCCTAACAGATGCAGGCCATATAACCAGTTTCTGATAATTATTTTTTGAATAATTAATTCATAGGGCCCTTGACAGTAATAGGTTGAAATTTTAAAAAATGTTAAAAGTTACTGAGCATGTTGTATTGATGGTTCCCGAGGACTAGCTGGATCTCTATATGGTGTCAGGGACTAAACAAGTACTCTTGAATTCCAATTACTAGTCTGATCAAAATTTCTCCTATTGGGCTAGGGGTCTAGCTCAGTAATAGAGCACTTGCTTAGCATGTGTCAGACCCCAGGTTTGAGGAAAAGCATCACCAAAAAAAGAAAGAAAAAAAGAAATTCTGTTGCTCAAGTCCATCTTCGAAAACACCTAAGGAAATTGGGAAGTTGCAGCTCTGCTCTCATTTGTTATACAAGATATCATAAAATGGTGGCTATTTAAATTATATTATTTAATATTATTATTTTGGGTACCAGGGGTTGAACTCAGGGACATTAGACCACTGAGCCACATCCCCAGCCCTTTTTTGTATTTTATTCAAAGACAGGTTCTCACTGAGTTGCTTATCACCTTGCTTTTTGCTGAGGCTGGCTTTGAACTCATGATCCTCCTGCCTTAGCCACCCGAGCTGCTAGATTATAGGTGTGCGCCACCGTGCCTGGCTAATATATTTTTATTGGATTAAATGAAGATTCTGGACTTTGTGTAAATAAGGCTAATATAAATTCAATTCATTTTATTCATAGAGGTCAACAGAGCACATTTTTTAGACCAGTGTTCTCAAACTTTAATGTACATAATAATTACCTGGAGAGCTCATTAAAATGTAGATTTGGGTTCAATAAGTCAGCAGTGGGCTAGAGAGTCTGTATTTCTAACATGCTGCCAAGTGATGCTGATGTTGCTGATCTGTGAACCACACTTCAAGTTGCAAAAATTTAGACTCAAGTAAATAGGAAAAACTTCCTTTTTGAGTATAGTCTGAAAGTTTATGGGGCCCTTGCTTAATGTAATGACAAATACCAGATCTGAATGTGAAAAATACTTCAGTTTTATATCATATGTGATATAAATTAATTATATTTGGGTTCCTATGTGTAAGATGCAAATGAATATTATAATATAAGCAACTTGTTTTAATGATACTGATATAAACAAAACTTATTTAGGTGGTATTCATCATCGACAAAATAATACTAAATACATGCCAAAGTATTTTGATTTTATAGAAACTCTGAAAAAAACCCAACATTATGAATTATTGAAATGCAAATCAACATAATTTCAAATTCTGTCATTTTGAAAGTTTTTCAAAACTGTAAGTAGTAAAAATAAAAACACTGTAAATGGTAACAGATAAAATTAAATTTTGCTAAAACTAATTTTAGTCATTTTTATGGCTACCTGATATAGTCTCACTTCCAATATATCTATCCAATTTAAATTTTCTTTCTAGTTTCATAATTATTCCCTTTTGCAATTATAGATTCCCTAAATGTTTTTCAGTCTTTGGTACTCTTTAACTTTAATATTTTGTATAATTTTCTAATAAGGAATTATGTGTCACATTTTTAGAGCACAGTTACATTATTCATAATAGCTAACAGTAGAAACTCAAATTTCTATTAACTGATGAATGAAGAAATAAATGTGGTATATATCCATACAGTGGAATATTATGAAGTTCTGATATATCCTACAATATGGATGTACCTTGAAAACATTATGCAAAGTAAAACATTCCAGACACACAAAAGGACAAATATTATATGATCCCATTTATATGAGATGGGGGAGGTGGGAGAGAGGGCAAAAGAAGGGTAGATGGACGTGATCAGTGTATGACATATGCATGTACAAAAACATCAGTGAATCTCACAAATCTGAATAATTAATATGTGTTATTAATAGTTAATATAATAGTGATCACAAAGAACAGTGGTCACTAAGGGCTGGGAGGAAGGAAAAATGGGGAGTGCTAATGGGTATAGGATTTCTTTGGGGGATGACAAAAATGTACTAAAATTATATAATGTTGATGCCTGCAAAACTGTGCATATACTAACAGCAAATTAAGTTTGTACTTTCAAAGGGTGAATTTTATGGTATTATGTGAACTACAGGTTGAGTAGCCCTTGTCAGAAATGCTTAGGGTCATTCAACAGATGAATGGATAAAGAAAATGTGGTATATATACACAATGGAATATTACTCAGCCATAAAGAAGAATGAAATTATGGCATTTGCTGGTAAATGGACAGAATTGGAGGATATCATACTAATTGAAATAAGCCAATCTCCAAAAACCAAAAGCCAATGTTCTCTCTGATATGTAGATGCTAACACACAATAAGGAGAGAGGGAAGAACAGAGGTTCATTGGATTAGACAAAGGGGAATGAACAGAAGGGAGGATGGGAATAAGAAAGACAGTAAAATAAATCAGACATAACTTTCCTATGCTCAATATATGGACACATGACCAGCGTAACTGCACATCATGTTTAACCACAAGAATGAGATCCTAATTAGAATACATTATACTCCATATATGTACATTATATCAAATACATTCTACTGTCATGTACAACTAAAAAAAAAAAATAAATGCTTGAGGTCAGGAGTGTTTTGGATTTTTGAACATTTGCCTAAATGCAATGAAATATATAGGGGATGGGACCCAAATCAAAACATGAAATTCATTTGTGTTTCATATACATCTTATCTGCAAATCTTGAAAATAATTTTTAAAAATATTTTTGGTCTGCCTATGTTTTGACAGCAACCCATCACATGTGGTGAAGTGTGGAATTTTCCACTTAATGGCATCATGTTGGCACTCAAAAAGTTTTGAATTTTGGGGCTGGGGCTATAGCTCAGTGGCAAAGCACTTGCCTTGCATTTGTGAGGCATGGGGTTGGATCCTTAGCACTACATTAAAAAACTAAACAAATAAAGGCGTGCTGTCCATTTACAACTATTAATTGTTTTAAAAGTTATGAATTTTGCAGCATTTTGTTTTTCTGGAGCATTTTGCACTCTGGATTTTCAGATTAGGGATATTCACTATGTACATGTCAACTTCTAAATGTGAGAATTATATAATTTCTACCATTTGTCATCAATATGAAAATTAAGAATGCTTTTTATTCCTCAGGGTCCTCTCCCACTGACACTTATGTACCATAATAATCTAGGCATGTGTTTACTAAAAGCTTTGATTCAGTCTGAGTGAGCATAAAAAAAGACTATTACTATTTGATATCTTTCATTCTAATCAGAATAGCAAAGGTTAATGACATTGTCTGGAAAACATTTGTATTTCTTTTAGTCATTAAGGCAAGAAATTTCATTAAGTCAATTCTTTAGTTTAATTCAAGGCCAGGTTCAATTCTGGTTCAAAACAACAAGTTCACATAGGCAAATTCCACGGGATATACGTTTTTGTTTCCAGTTAAAAAGTAAGAGCTATCAGGAAATATGAAAAATTTGAAAAAGGTCTGGAATCAGTTTAATTTGGATGTCTAAATTTAAAGTCACAGTTTAAATCTTATTATTTATTTATACCATTTCTTTTTAAAATAACATTTGGCTCCCCCATTATATAAATACATACATACATCATTGATGTAAAAAATGTATAATACACTGGAAAGCACAATGAAAACAAAACAAAAAAATCACTCTTATCCTACCAATCAAAGAAAACCACAATTTGGGGGGAACAGGGACTGAAATATAGCAGGTCAGATTCCATGCATGTATGTTTTTATTGGGATGAACCCAGCTACTATGTATGATGCTCATTAAATAAATAAATAAAAGATAACCACTATTAAAATTTTGGTTCATGTCCTGTAGAATTTTATTCATTTTTATTCATTACAGAAATGAATTCATATATATTTATTTATAATTTTGATTGCAGTACATATGTGGAATTTTAACTTTTTTTTCATTTAGCAAAATAGCTCAGACATTTTCCTATAGTATTACTTATCTGTAATACCATCATTTTTTATGGCTTCACAGCATTTCATCACATGGTTATACAATGATTTACTTATTGTTTATAGTTTTTCAAATACTATAAATAATTATCCAAACATCCTTAGGCATCTTTGTATGTGCTGCTGGCTACCTCCCTAGGATTTGTTAGTAAAAAGTGGAATTTTAGTGCCTATAAATCATTTCTCTTTGCTGAAAGCCAAATGAAGTGGCAAAATAAAAATAAAAGAACATTAGGGAAGTCAAAGAAAAAGTGATAGTTACCTGATAGGGTGGCATCAAATCCCATGTCTTCTATTGCTTCTCTCAAGGTTTCTGGAGAGGTTAGTAGAGGGTCATACTCAACAGTTCCATTGCTATTTGCAAGGGAGACTCGTATGGATTTTACACCTGCCTTTTTTGATATTACACCTTCAATAGACTGTACACAAGAATTACAAGTCATACCATCAATGTGTATCACAGTTTCTTGAGTCAGAGGCTGGCTAACTATGTTCAAAGGCATCTTTTGAAGAGATGAGCTGGAGGGAGAGGTGGAGGTACTCTCAACTTCACTTGCAATCCTAACTCTGTATTGCCCTGGTGAAACAGCTTCTATTGCTTTTCTCAGCATTTCTGGAGTGACTGAGCTTGCATTGTACTTTACAACGGCAGACCTATTCTCTAAAGAAACTACTATGCTGCTTACATATTGGAGTGTAGATAAAGCGCTTTCAATATTTGACACACACGATTTACAATGCATGCCATCTATGATGAAAGTAGCTGTTGTATCATTGGTATATGATGATGATGGACTTCTTTGCTGTGATCCTTCTGGAGATTTCACTGGTGTGTTCTTTAGACGTTCTACATCAATAGCTCCCAATTTAAGGTACTTGGGCTGTTTTTTGATGTATGCTGGAAAGCCTGCAGCTTCGATCTGCTTCTTTATTTCCTCTACTGTGATAAGATGAGGTTGGTAAACAACAGTGGCTTCTTGGTTGTCTAGGGAAACTAGTTAATAAAAAGAAACATGAATATTATTTAAGTCAGTTATTTCTGCACCCCTTCAGAATCAATAATTATTTCTCTCTCATTCTTCTCAACACCTGTTCTTAAAATAATTTTGTTCTTTTCATAAAATGTGATTGACATGAAATGGAAAGAAATAAAAGATATCATCACTGTTGCTATGGTCTCTAAGTTTCTATAAACCTGCATAGAAATATATTAAAGAGTCCCCCAGACATGTTGTGGTAAGAACCCTGAACTCCAGGAATCGCTACCCCAGCTGCCCTTTCTGCCAAACTAAAGTTCAAGACTCTCATAACCTTTAATTATAATCATTAACTTTACTGACATTAATGCTGGGAATATGCTATGCCTCAAACTTCAACGAAGTGGTAAGCATTCTAGTCCCATGGATTCAAAACCCATGCTTGGGAAGAAAGCAAAAAGTTAAAAGATCAAACCCGAAAACTAAGCTTTATAAAACAAGCAAAATCATATTGGATCTATTACCTTTAATTCGCTGAATACCTTGCAGTTTCCCAATTTTTCCTTCAATAGTGCTAGTGCATGAATGGCAGGTCATTCCTTCCACTTTCATCTTCAACATGACTTCCCCTGCTGGAGCCATACTGTGGTCTTCATAAGGTCCTGTTTTTTTCTCTACAGTTCCAATATCTAAACTGAGGTCTGGAACCAGCTCTATTATCTGATTGGCATTCACTATAGAAGGAATGATTGTCACTACTGCAGCTCTTTGCTGAGGGGAAATTTTAATGTCTGTCACACCCTTGGTCTTGAGCAATGTGCTTTGGATATGGTCCCATGGTGGAGCCAGTGAAGCAGTAACAGTCAAAAACACAGTATCAGTTAAAACTGGAAGAGGGTTAGGATTATGGAGAATAGCATCAAAGCCCATGTCATCGATAGCTTCCTGTAGGGTCTTTGGAGTCTGCAGTTTAGGGTCATAAATAATCGTTGCATTTTTCTCTTCCAGTGAAACCTTTTGGAAGGAAATTTCAGAAGTTAGTTTAATTAAGTGATATGATATTGGGTTTTATTTATTTATTTGGTTCTAGAGATTGAACCCAGGGGCACTCAACCATGGATTCACATCCCCAGCCCTTTTTACTTATTTATTTTTTTTGTTTTGAGACAGGGGTTTGCTAAGTTGCTGAGGCTGACCTTGAACTTGTGATCCTTCTCCCTTAGCTTCCCAAGTTGCTGGGACTATAGGCATGTGCCACAGTGTCTGGCTCACATGACAGAGGATCTTAAAAATGTCAATAATTATTATCACATTCAAGAAGAATAAAATAACTCAATCTAATTGGAGTAAATAATAATAAATAACTTATTATTTTTCATTATACTATTCTCATTGGAAAGAAACATAAAATGTCTTGTCTATTTAAAAGAAAGGTAAAGCCTACGTGACTATGGTACCAGACAACTATCTGAAATATGTACATGGACAAATACACCCTAGAATTTCACAACACAGCACAAACTACTCTTTCCTACCATCTCCTTTCATGACTATTCCAATACTTCACAGTCTACTAATTCAAAAGGTTATATGGGAAGCAGGATTAGCTATAGAAAATAAAAAGGTAACATGAATTTTGCTCATATAAAATGTTCAATTAAGATAACTGTTGGCAAGAAAAGACACTAACTTGCCAGTTTATGAGTGAAGGTAATATTTATAGGTTTTTTTTTCTCGTCTTTTTTTTATTATTATTTTTTTTATTGGTTGTTCACAACATTACAAAGCTCATGACATATCATATTTCATACATTAGATTGAAGTGGGTTATGAACTCCCAATTTTACCCCAAATGCAGATTGCAGAATCACGTCGGTTA